ATTTTTTAGTAAAAGGGGGACCTGTAGGGCCCTGGCCCCCATTTTGGGTAACTGTTGCCTTGCTTGCTGACCTTGACCTTGATATCCTCCCTATGCTAATTCTCTGCTGGTTTCCACCCTCCTGAATGCTTAAGGGAAGTTCCTTGTCTGTGTATCCTGCATAATGGGTGTTAACAGCTTAGATGCAAGATTGTAAAACATCGTAGTAGTGAACTTCTGCTCTCTGGGGTTCTCCCATTGTGCTGTGAACCTATATTTAAGACCTCTTCCCTCCTTCAATAAACAGCATTCGGCATTAAAAAAAAAGATGGGGAGGCTGCACTTGGTACAGCTAGGACTGAGTAGGATGCCTCTCACATATGAACGCTCACTGAGCATGAACCAAGACTGAGGCTCTGTTAGCATTTGCAGGGGGGGGGGTGCGGCGGAGAGGGGGGAGGGTGGGAATGAAAGCCAGACAGGCTGAAGGAGTCTTCTTGTGTGAGCTGAAATTCCCAGCCTGGAATCTGAATCTATTTCCATCAGATTCTAGAGTTGTCATGGAGGACTGCAGGCAGGGAGGCGAGCAGAGACACCTGGGAGGGGATGAGAGGGAGCAGGTAGTGGTGATGGAGACGTCAGTAGAGATTGCAATTGAATAGCATTTGCTGCTATGTGGTTAACAGAAACTCAGGGAAGTGGAGTGTGTCTGCAGAGGGGTTTGCATGCTCCTGGTGCCCACCTCCCATAGTGCCAGCTCCTTGAATAGCCATGTGGCAGGGACCAGAGGCTAGCAGAGTGTCAGGGAAAGATGTTTTAAGTTCTGTTGGTTGGAGGGTCTGCCCAGGACCTTCAAATGGACCTCGGGGGGCAGATATTTCCAGAGGTGGGAATCCATCATCTTTACACTGCCATTCGGATCCCTAATAAGGAAGTAATAATATTGCCAAGTCTTTACCACGCTTTCTATGAGCTAGTGAGAAGACTAATTATCTGACGACACTAATAAATGGTTATGATGTTATTAAAAATGGCACCAAGCTAGGATTAACAGGCTCATCAATTGTAGGGAGTTGGGTTTAACAAGGTCCCCTGCATGTCCCATCCAGGCTCCTGGCCTTGATGGGTACTGAACCTCCAAAGCACTGCCCAGCAGGACGGAGGCTGTGGATGGAGGTTCCCAGTGGTTCCCCAGCAGAGGGGCACTGAGGGTCTGGTTGCTGCTGGCCTTTCTCATCATGTCCCTTTAAAAAGTCGGCTCTTCAAAGTTTGTGGGCCACCGAGGCGCAGCGGTGGCGGCAGGACCGACTGTTCAGCCCCTTCTCCATGTGCTCTTAGCCATCCCTCTTGCAGGAGCTCTGTCCTCTCCGCTCATATTCCCTCTGCAAATGCCAGGCTCCAGAGTCCCACTCACAAGGCTTGGGGGAGCGGGTAAGAGAAGGTGCGTCCGGTCCCGCTGGCTCATTTCCATAATAATTACAGTTATTACTAATAACAATGACAACACGGTTCCCCATTTACACGGAAGCCTGTAGCTCAGAAGCCCCTCCCCACCCATTGTCTCTTTCCAGCCTCACAGTGGGGAGGGAAAAGTGGAGACAGTTATCATCCTTCTCACTGTGGAGGCAGGAAACTGGAGCTTGGGGACACAAAAGGAGTCCTGAACAACTCCCTCCTCGGTCTCCAAGGAACAACTGTGAGGATAAAAATAAAAACAGTGGCATCGAGGACGGATGCCCTGCCAACTACACCAGGCGCACCTGCTAACTGAGTCCTCACAGTACCCCGGGGAGGCAAGTTCTGTGCGTGTCACCCCCCTTTACAGGTAAGGGGACAGACACATTCAGACCGTCCAGGGACACGTAACTACCACGTGGCAGCGTCAGTATGGGCTCTTCAGCATTGCTCCCTCCCACCAGGCTTCCATACAGACCATGTTTGCCAGGCCAGGGACCCTACAGGGCACTGGAGACTGTGCCAGCCGTGAGTGCACCTCCCTCTGGGCTCTGGGCCAGTGTGGTCTCTCTAGAGAGATCAAAGTCCAGGACCACTTAGGCACATCGCCTTTAAGACTCTCTTGCTTTGAATCCAGTCCACGACTGGGTATCTGAGGCCTGGATCCTATCTCCCTGCTGCCTCTGCCTCAGTCTCTGTAACTGCCTCAGTGGGCTGTTCTAAGGATGGGGGAGAGCAGGTCTGGGGCATCCAGGGCAGATCTGGTCCTTGCCTCCTTTAACTGCAGGCAGGCTCTCTTGCTATTGCTTCTGTGCTGCTGAGGAGCCTGAGATGGAAGGTGGGGAATCGTTCATCTGTGCCCTGTGAGCCTGACAAACAGTACCTGGTTAGATTCCCACACCTTCCTTAGTGGCCCTGGTAGCTACTAACTACTCCTGTAGGCAAAAGGAAGACAAGGAGCTGGTGTGTGTGTGTATGTGTGTGTGTGCGTGCGTGCGTGCGTGCGTGCGTGCGTGCGTGCGTGCGTGTGTGTGTGTGTGTGTGTGTGTGTGTGTACTGAAGAACTTCCTAGGTTATACACATGCTAACCCTAAAAGCTAGTTTTCAAACCTCAGATCTGCTGGTCCTGAGCCTGGACTTCAAGGGGGAGGATGCGTTTGCTGTTCCCATCACACAGGTACCTGTGGCCCTGCACCACTGTTCCAGTGCTCCTGGTGGAGGTGGGGGGGGGTGTTGCAGTGACCTGCACATATTGCTGAGGAAGGTGCTCAGAGGCTGGGTGACTTGTGCCTGTGCCCACAGCTGAGGGTCCCAATTCCTCTCTTGGCCTATGAATTCCTCATCTTTTCCCTCATGTTCTGCAAACCCAGGCTCCTCCCATGGCCTTCGCCCCCTTCACCCTGCCTGCATGGCTCCTTACTTCCCAGGTCTTCCCTATCCCAGGCAGAGTGCAAGGCTCTTGGTGCTGCCCAGTGTAGTCTTACTAACCCCTTCATGCCAGTCCTAAGCCCACGCCTTGAGTCATCTGTGTCACCAATGAACCCACAGTGACCAGAAGATGTGACAGCTCTGTTTCCATGTCCTTGAGCTGGATAGTATGTTTGCTTAGATTCCTTAATCCCAGGGTTGGGATATCCTTCAAGGAGCAGAAGGCGGAGAAGATGCAGGAATTCTCTCCACAGCAACCTCACCAAAGATGCCTGGGGAGGGCCCATCATCAGAGAGGCCAATCTGTGTGCAGTGGGGATGTTGGGAGGTGGACATCCCAGGCCAGGCAAGACCTTGACCGGTCCCCAAGAACACACCCTTCACCCCCCTCTCCCCAGTCTTTAGATCTTCACCTGCTGGGGTGCCTAGATGTTCAAATGGCGCTTCGCTAGAACATCCCACCCTGTCCTTATCCCGGCCTCCAGGCCCGAGCCCCGGCTTACGTGGTCAATGAGCTCCTTGACCATGCCGTTCCACTGGCCCTTGTCGTCCTGTGCCCCGTATTTGCCATCTTCCACCAGCCGGATCTCATAGGAGAAGCCCAGGATGTGCGCCAGCTCCTTGAGCAAGTCAATGCAGTAGCCCTCGAAGCGGTCGTTGCCGTAAAGGGTCCTATCGGACTTGCGGAACATGACGAAGGGCTCCTCCTGTGTGGACAGAAGGGAGAGAGGGCGCTAGGCAGAGTGGCTGGGGTCGGGGTAGGCTCTGTAGTTCAGGCTGACCTCGGGGTCTCTAAGTAGTTAAGGGTGACCTAGAACCCCTAATCTTCCTGCCTCCACCTCCCAAACGCTGGAATTACAGGCATGTGCCCCACACCTGGTCTAGGCTCTTGTGTATACACACACATACACACCACACACACACACACACACACACACACACACACGTTCAGTGGGTACGTGTGTGTATGGGTCCATGTGCATATGTGTGCAAGGACACATGGAGGACAGAGGCCAAACTTGGGTGTCATTGTTCAAGTATCATCCACTTTTTTTAAAATTTACTTCCACTTTAATAATAATAAAAAAAACTAACATGCATTAAATGTAGAAAATGTTTTAAAATATTCCCCTAGCCAGACATGGTGGTTTGTGCCTTTAATCCTAGCACTCTGGAGGCAGAGGCAGGAGGATCTCTGTGAGTCTGAAGCCAGCTTAGTCTACACAGAGTTCCAGGTCAGGCAGGGTGACATTAGTGAGACCCTGCATAAAAAAAGAAAAATCCCTGTAAAAAGAAAGTTACACATATTCATGTAATCGGAGTTAAACACTTGACGTTCACTTTGCTTCAGTGGGATGGAGTGGCTATCACACACCATCATGCACCCTGTTTATGTGATGCGGGGTGGGGAGTGGAGGAGGGATGGGGGGCCGAGGGGGCCTATCACTGGCCTGGAGCCTGCTGAGGAAGCTAGCCGGGCTAGCCGCAGCATCCCAGGGGTCCTCCTGCCTCTGCTTCCCCAGCACTGGGATTTCAAGCACAAGCCACCACACCTGGCTTTTTATGTGGTTCTAAGGATCAAACTCCGGCCTCCTGCTTACACCACAGAGCACTTCACCAACAGCCATCCATCTCCTCTGGCCCTGGAGTCTTGTTTCTGAAAACATTTCAAATGGCTTGCTTGAATCAACAGCCCGGAAGCCAGGAGAGGGCAAGTCCGTTTGCTGAAAACCAACTCAGTGCCCTGCAATGTCACCTGCAGGGACGGTCCCAGCAGGAGGGGACAGGGCTCTGCTGGTGCTAACTTAAGTGCCAGTGATCCCAGAGCTATCAAGTGGTGGGGCAGGAACTACCTGATTCAGTGTCCCAGGCCAGCATCAGCCTGACCTTAGAACCTGTTAGGAAATCACTCTTGGGCTTCACAGTAGACCCACTGAGGCAGGAGCTGTGGCGAGCCTAGTCTCCACTCAAGTTGGAGGGCGGCACAGCCAAAGCCCTTCAGCAGGTATGGCGCCTTCCCGACTTGTTGCGGATCAGACACCGCTCCCGACACCGCTCTGTCCTCAAGGTCCCCTCAGTGCCCCAAGTCAGGACCTGGCCATGAGTCAACACTGACTTCAGCAGTAGCTCCCTCTGCATGTGGCTGTGCCTCTCCCAGGGGTTAGCTGGTCCTCAAGAAGGCAGTTTGTGGGTCCAGAGATGCCTGTCCTGTGTCAGGTGCTGGGAAGCCAGTGTGAGGTGTAAAGTAAGGCTTAGCACTGTCCGACTCCTGAGAAACACAGCCCTGGCTGCACCACAAACGAAAAACTAGGGGAAGAGGCAGGAAGCCCACGGGGAGGACCGAACCGACAGCATTTAGTTGGAGATGCTCAGATGTGGCATGATCCAGACGCCCCAGAACCCAGGAAAAAATGCAAGTCCAGGATTCTGTGGGCCTCAAGCACCCATCCCCACCCACAGCTCCCTACGGTGAAGTCTGGGCATGGCTGATCTGAATCCCCCACCACCTCCCTCCCCCGCCACCTGCAAACTCCACATCTGTTGAATTACTACTTTGTACCATGCACCATTTTTAACTTTTCCAGTTCATTTTAAGTCTTATTAGCATGCAAAATAGATGGTCTTATCCCCATTTGATACGGGAAGAGAAAGACTCAGAGAGGGTCACTATATTACCCAAAGCCACACAGCCGTTGACAATAAATAGTTCAGTTTCTGACCTACCCAACCAATCAGCACTCCCCCGAGCTCCTTTCTTTCTGCCCCCTAGGCTCAGACTCTCCTGTTCTCGCAGGTCCTGAACTCAGGCTGAGAGCTGCCATCCACTCACCTGCTTTGATCTCTCGGACCTCAGTCCTGACCCATCCTCTGGCCCTGGCCTGTGAGCCACCTTTCCCCACACCCACTGAGGCACCTTGCTCTTGTTTAAACGCCTCTACCCCTAGCCGAGAGCCCTTCACTGATGGGACACACGCCCACAATAACACAAGCGCGTACTTAGAGAGGTGTCTCGTTGTTCTCCCCACTGACTGGGCACTTTTCTTGACCCCATGAGCCTCTGGGATAGGGTAGGAAGTGGAGGGCTCTGGTGACTGTGGTTGGATGTCCTCAGGGACAGAGACCCACCAGTGCCTTAACCCAGGCTCCTGCTGTGGCAGGTGGGCTGTCCTTCTGCTCTGGTCTTTCCCATTGTGCCATCCAACCTCGTGACCCGTCTACTCAAGCTTTCAGGGGTCCTACAGGGGCTTCTGAGAAAGAGCCAGAGAGCGCCTGCATCTTGAAGGGGTTTCTGACCACCCAGGGAGTCTGAGTACAATGCTTTCTGGTCTCATCACACAGAAACATGGACCTTTGGGCTAGCCCTATCCTAGACCTCAGGGCCTCTGGTGCTACCCGCAGCCAGGAGCCAGACAAGCAGCTCAAACATGGGGGAGGGAAGCCCATGTGGACCCGGGTCAGGGGCTCAGGCTGAATGGAGGCAAGGGAACATTAACCCTTCCCCAGGTAATAGTGCCCCCCACACCCCGGGCATGGGGCTTGGGGTGGGCTGTCAGTCCACCTACCCCTTTGATGGACGCTCTTGTGCAGTGGACAAGCTGCACCCCTGTACCTGCTGGCCCTGACCTTATTTAAATTAGGCAAAGAATTAGAGAGAAGGTACTATCTTTCCCAGGGAAATTGCCCGGATGGGGAGAGATGCCCAACCCTCTTATGTAGAATGGAGATTTTGACAGAACCTATCCTAACAGAAATAAGGATAAGATGAACCCACCTGGGAGAAGCCCTCAGTGCCTGGCACATGCCAGCTGCCACTATTACTGTTATTGTTCTTATTATTACTATTCACACTCATGCCTTCTTCCTGTGTACTGACTGGCCTGTTACTTCAGTGGCCAGTCCCTCTTAGAGACCACACCCCATGTCATCAAACAGTAACAATCATGGCTACCAGGGGAAGTGGCGGGAATCATTTGGGAAAAGCCCCTAAGACGGCTCCCTTCCTGACCTGCCCCCTCCACGCCTCTCCTTGGCCTTAGCCTCTAAAATTAGCACTTCATTTGTGAAGCCACCACAGCCCCAGAATCTATACATCTCCATCTAAATACGCTGCCTTCGGACAGCTGCAAAATGCCATTAATTTCGGGAAGTGCTTTGCGGATGGCATACATATTTAACAGCTGAAGCCCAGGGCATTAAAATGGTGCTCGCCTTAGTAATGCGTCTCCAGCCCAGCAACATTTCCTAGGGGGTAATTCTCAACTCCGAGACTACTTATTCATGGACTATTTCACAATTTATTACTGGAAATGTCCAGACAGCCAGTTCACCGGCTCCTCAGCTGCTAATCGATTGCTCAGTGAAGGTGCCCTCAATTTCATAACTTCACGCTCTCCTATTGCTCCGGGAGAAGAGCCGTGGGACCAGGGGTAATATTTCTCCTCAACAAGTCACCGAAAACAGGGGTCCAGAAAAATAACCTTTCCCCACTTTCTGTCACAAGGCTCTCCATCTGGGCTCGCTACAATCACTTAGCAATAGAGAAGCCAGGCCTAGAGCTAAGCTTCTCCTAGATACAGGGCCACAAGGTTGCAAGAGGAGGCAGGGAGGGGGCAACCCCGAGAGAAGAGGGGTTCAGGGATTAGCCACCCAATAGCTGGGCCCGAGTGCCCTGACTTAGGCCAGGTCTCCCCACGGTCATGCACACGTGCACATGTATGTACACTGGCAATATGGCCCATATGCTTCTGTGTGCTTGCTGCCTATCTGACCCTGCTTAGACACAGACCAAGAACCCAGACCTGAGGGCTTGGCTGCTGCAGCACAGAAAAGACAAGGCATTCAGAGTCACATTTCTCGAGTGGGAGGATCCAGACTGGCCCCTGGCCTGGCTTGGTCTTCCTGGCCCACATTCTGGCTTTGGCTTTCCCCTTCTCCGGCCCCTGGGTGCTGGGGGCCAGCTTGCCTGGCACTTGAGTCTATGTGGGTCACAATGTGCACACTGCACTGGTGTGTACCCAGAGGCCATTCGTGGCCCATCCCAAGAATTCACACCCACCTACATGCACCCCGATTACCACTCACATCTACAGCCGAAAGTACCTTGAACCTTCAAAAGCAGGGCCCCAGGAGCACACACTGCCTGAGCTTTTTCGGTGTGAGCTGAGGTTTGGGTGCATGCATTTTTCATGAGATTGTGAAGCGCAGAGGCAGAAGAGAGGCCAGGCCTGCAGGGAGGGTGGTGGGGTAGGCTTCCAGCTTTGGAATGGGGATCTGTCCCGTGCTCTAGGTGGCCAGAGGGCACAGTCAGGCTCCTGTTTGTCTGTCCGTTCAGGGCAAGGCACCCCGAGTACCTAACCCCAGAGGTTTAGAACAGTGAGAGCAGAAGATGGGGTTGGGGAGCCCACACAGGCTGCTGTGGCCTGCCACATCCCAGGAAGACAGGTGCCCTTCTCATCAGGGTTCTCACCTCCAGGTCCGGTCCCCTGGGGCAGAACAGTTTGATGTTCTGATCCTGTGCCTTGGTACCTGCCTATCACTCAAAGTGTGGTTGCCTTGACAACGCCAAGGCAAGACAGACAGGGGCCTGTGCTCTCAGCAGGAGGTGCTGGCCCCTCATATAGGCAAGCCAAGCAAGGGGTTAAGTTTTCAACCAGGATAGTTCAGCCAGCGCCAGGCTGAGTCACTCCCTAGGATGTGTGTAGCTGTCCCAGGGATAGGTAATTAGCCTGATCCTAGGGCCAGGAGCTCAGACTGTGGCCAAGGGAGGGGAGGACACAGAGGCCAAGCTGGGGCATTGTGTCTGAGAGGCTAGAGCTCTGAGAAGGTCCAGGGTGGAAGTGGTAAGTCTTAAAACTATACAGCAGAGTGTAAACCTGGAGCAATGGGGGTGGAGTGGGGGATGGCGGGTAGGCCCAGGAGTGTAGACGAATTTCTAAACAGTCTTATTAATAGAAAGCACAGAGCCAGATATAGGGGCGAAAACCTGAGAGATCAGGGAAATAGGAAAACCTATTTCCTAACCTCTGCAGCTTCCAAAGTTGGTGAGGTGAGGTTAGCTGTGGCTTTCCCTGTTTCCCCCGATCTCTCAGGTTTTCATCCCTAGATCTGGCTCTGTGTTTTCTATTGATAAGACCGTTTAGAAATTTGTCTACACAGGAGAGCTCGCTGGGCTTGAAAAATGTTCAAGTGCCAACTGAAAGTTCATAACACAATGTGCCCCACTGCCAGGAATCACCGTTCTGACTGTGCTGCCTTTGGTGAAGCTCAGGGCTCAGTCTGTGGCCATACATGGTTAGTGTGTTGTAGTCACCCTGAGTTCACCGGGTCCTGGATGAACAGCAGTCATTACAATAACTGCACTCACCCCGCAACGAGTTTATCCAACATCCACCCTCTGCACTCTAGGAAGTAGGTGTGATCACTTCCACGTCTTCCTTATCAGCTAGGCCACAGGCACAGAGCAAGAAGCTGCCTGTCTCAGGCCCATGCATTATGTCAACAGAGAAGCCAGGACTCAACCCCAAAGTCTCTGCTCTTCGCTACTGCTCATTCCCTGTTCCTACAGGTGCCCAAGAGCTGTTGGGTCATTTCTACCCAGCTGACTTGAGGCTGAGGGGCAGTGGGGCAGATGGAACTGCGTCCAGGCTATGAGCCAAGACTCAAGAGGGGATTATGTCCCCCCATGTCCTCCTGGGGTTCCTGGGAGCCAGCCAGTTCTGGAGATGGGAGCTCTGGTGATGGAGTGAGCCCAGCAAGTTAAGGACCAATGCTACTATGGTGAAGACTGACAGGTCAAGAGCATGGGTTGTTTGCCCGACTCAGCTCTTAAAAAAAAAGACCTTGTGCCTCTTCAGAATATGTTCTTTGTGTGGGGGGTGGAGGGGGGGGGAGGTGGGCGCCTATCCTGGAACTCAGTATATAGCTAGGGTGGCCTTGAACTCACAGGGATCCACCTGCCTCTGCCTCCTGAGTGCATTCACCACCAAGTCCCAGCCAGTTCCACACCCTTGAGACAGAGCGGCTGCCATCTCAGTGAAATGTGACCCCGTGGCCTTCCAGGGCGGCTGGGTTTTGCATCCTGTTGGGGAGTCCTTAGCGCATGCTCCCTTTGGAGTCTTGTTTGGTGGCTGCCTCCCCTCAGCTCCTGTAATCATCTCTCCTCCTCATCTCTTCAATCATATTTCTCTCACCTCGTTTTAATCTTGCCTTGCAAAAAGTGTTTTATTTATATCTCACATTTCATGCAATTCTGCTTTTAATCTTTTACCACCTTTTTATTATTTTATTTTTACCCTTTTATATTTTAGCGTTGCCACACTTTCATCCCTTTGCTTTCTGACATTTTTTTTGCTTGAACATTTTTTACCTTGTCTAGCCAGCACTGTAAATTATTTAATTTTTCTTAATATCTTCCCTTTTTATCTCTCTCCTTACCTTCATTATTCTCCCTCCACCTTTCTATTTAGCTCCCCCCTTTCTGCCCTTTATCTTTCCTATTTTTATCCACATTCACATTCCTTTAATTGCTCATCAGTCTCCCTTAAGTCCCTGGGTGCTTTTTGTTTATTTTTATCATTTATCTTTTACGTTAGTTTTTCTCCTGTTCCTGTTGAGCTCTTTTTGACTTATGGCTTTAGTATTTGTCTCCTTAATAAAAAGCGGATCCCTAAAGACTAGAAGGTTATATGATTATTTGGAAGACCCCCGGGGTTCTCACTGCCCCCCCTAAAGGGGTGATGACCCCTCCCTGGCTCTCTTCCTGTGTGGCTCTGTCAGCAGCCTGTCCACCACACTCATTCAATCTCTATGGGCTTTAATGGGGTTTCTCAGTGACCATGACCCTGGGGGCTGCAGATGAGACCAATTGTTTAAAATTCCCCTCAACATGTATAGTACTGCAGAGTCTTTGAGATTCCTGGAAGAAAGGGGGTATTTTATAATTGCTTCACGGTTTCATGGTGCCCACCACCCAACCACTGAATCTATGCCTGGTGGGCACCATGACAGTAGAGGGGAGGATGGTCTAGTTTGGCCTGGCTGAACTGCCTCAGGAGGGGACGTAGGGACAGCCACCTCCCTCCAAACACCATGGAAAGCTCCCAAGGGTTGGTTCCAGGCCTCCTCCACGGAAGGCTTCCTTAATCCTAATGCAGCAACACCGCTTTTGTGTAGAGGAACAAGGCCAGGTATCCAGGTATGGGTCTTACAGATTTAGTTGCTATATTCTAAAAGGTTGACTTGGGTCAGAACTGTTCTCAAAGGGGTCAGCTTCTGCTTGGCTGTGGCGAGGCTCCTTTCTCCAAGGGTAGCCCTGGGGGAAGTAGGGAACTGTCCCCAAGAGCAGTGTTGTGACATGGGTAAGGGGAGGGCAGTGGCTGCAAGCTGCAAGGTGCAGGGAGCCTGGGAGAGTCCATGAGCCACTCCCTGGTTGGAGTCCTCAGGAGAACAAGGGCAGGAAAAGAATGGATGGCGTGGGGAACCCTGGCTAAACTGCCTCAGCTGGGGAGGCAGGCGGGAGCTGCCCACATCTAAGTACCCCGGAAAGATGAGACCCACTTGACTCATCACAAAAAGAGGATGGGATGTGGCTCTATCCAAGGGGAGAGGTTGCAGCTTCCGGCTCTCGGGATTTATAAGCCCTGTGCACTGTGGCATGTGTACTGTCTCCTGGGGCTGTCTGGTGTGGCCACAGCACCTGACTCAGCTGGAGGGGCTCACACGAAGGGCCTTGAGGTGGGAGAGCAGCCCCCTAGCTGTGACGAGCAGCCACTCCTTTGTGGTCCTACTGAGCATGCAGGGACTCCGATGTGCAGGTAGGTGAGACGGCAAACACAGGTTTCTCTTGGGGGATGGGGAGAGGTCCCGGGTTCCAACCTCCTTCTAGGAGCTTTCTGAACCTTCCTGGAAATTTCAACTCTCCTGTGATCCACTTTGCTGCTTTCTCCTGGGAGCCTCCTTAGGGGTACCCAAGATGTGACAGGTGGGGGATGGAGGGGTCTCTTAGGTCAGATGGCCAGGCCAGTCCACGTCTAGGTCAGACAGCCTTTCCAGCAGGGCCTGAGGCGCTTACCAGCACAGTGGTGACGATGAGCGACCTGTTGGTCAGAGAGTCGGTGACATTAGGACCTCGGCCTTTGGCAACCTCAGTGATGTTGAGACCATCAGCTGGACTCCACACCCCAACCTGGATGGACAGACAGACAAAAAAACAGGTACTGAGTCCTTCCTTTCTCCACACCAACAAGGCCATCTGCTTCCAGCCATCACGGCCATCACTGTTGTCACCGTAAGGATGTGTTTTGAGTGAACGATTTTGATGACAAACCCCGGTGCCATGCCTCCTCCGAGGAGACTTCCAGGTGCCAACCTTTCCTTTTCCTCTTGCTGATAGAGGCTCAGCTGAAGGAGACATGCAGAGGAGCTGCAGGGAGCTGGGAGACAGAGTGGATACCCAGCAGGGACAGAAGGGCCAAGGGTCCCAGGCTAGGCCAGGGCCTCCTCCTGACAAGACACTGGGCACAGAGCTGCCTACTCAACGGGTTCCTTCCAGCCCAGACACCTGCAAAGGCCCGCTCACCCTGGAATGATGGCGATGCCCCCATTGGGAAGAGGGGGACGTGCTCCACGTGTGTGGACTTAGGGAAGGGGGAGCTTTGGGTGAACGGGCAGCAGGCCAGCCTCGGAAGCTGTTTTGGGTGATAACGGAAGTCCTGTGAGCTGCACTAAGGGCGAAGGCAGTTGGCTTTGGGGTTTCCCCTCTAAAATGGGCGTATACCCTGGCCGCCATGGGAAACTCCTCACAGCATCCTTACCAATATCAAGTCAGAGGCTAAAGTCAAGGAAGGAGAGGTAGGGTTTAAAAGTCATCCCAGGGGGATGAGACAGCTCAGCAGGTAAAGGCCCATGCTGCCAAGTCTGATGACCTGGGCACGATCCCTAGGACCTACGTGGTAGGAGGAGAGAAGTGACTCCTGAAAGTTGTCCTCTGGTCCTCACAGGGGTACAGTGGCATGATTCCATACATGCACACACGATGAATAAATAAATGCAATAAATTCTTTATAAGTCATTCTAAAGCCCCGGGGCCTCTTGCAGGTGCATTCTGAGCAAACCGCCCAGCTGGGCCTCGTCTTGGCTCTTCTCTCAGGGAAGGCATCAGCACGCCCACTCTGTCCTTGGCCCAGTTGGGGGTACTCAGAAAACCTAATCAATTAAACAGAGAGGCCAAGAGCAAACATCCCACTCAGAGAGCTGTGCACTACAGATAGCAAGAAGATACGTAATTATGCTTGGGTAATTCTGCCTTAATCCTCCCAAAGCCACCGGCTGGAGCTAGCTGGATCAGCTCTGACCCAGCTTAGCAAACAGAACAAGGCAATGAGAGGCCGTGGCTGTGGCGGGGGGTTCAGCGCGCTCTCTGCCTGCGCAGACCACTGGGGCCACGAGGAGAGGAGGCGGGCAGATGGGACTGGAGAGGCTCTTCTTTAAAGTGGGCCAAGTTCAGTGCGGGGATGCTGAGCCGAGGGCTGGGCGCTGAGCAAGAGGGCTACTAGGTACAGGAGGCACTCAGCAAACATCTGTCCAGAGGTGTGTGAACAGCAGGGAGCTTCAGGCTGGCAAGCTCTTCTAAGCCCTGATAGATGCCGGGCATGATGGGAATGGAAGAACAGGAGTGAAGTGGTTGTCTGCTCACAGGCCCAGGTGGCTATGACTGGGAGCCTCTGGTGGGCACCCTGTAGGCCAACCTCCATCCAGGGATAATAGAGTTTTCCTTGAGTATTAGCTACGGTCAATTTGTACCAGCTGCCTGGAGGGCTGCTGGGAGATAGATGCTGCAGGGTGGGCTCAGATGAAAGAGTGCTCCAGTGATCAATTACTGATGCCTGCCACGGGCACAGGAGCGGAAAGCGAAGGCATGTGTGCCATCTATCTACTATCCCTAGAATTTGACGTTGTCCCTAGAGACGAGTGGCTGAGAGGGCAAAACCAGCAGGACAGCTACCTGTGAGCACCATGTCAGCTGAGCCACCGCCCGGGAGGGGGCTGCTCTCCATCACTGGGGGACTTAAAGATTGATGGAACTCGTGGAGTGTGCCTGAGGCTGGAAGAATGGCCTCGGTGATCTTAGAAACGGAGGTCTCAGCCCCTGTCCTTGGGAATTAATGCCACCATGGCATGAAGTAGTTGTGGATGAATCATGAGGATTCCTGGCCACCCCTCTCTATACGGTGAATGGGAGGACACAGGAGAGGATCCAGGAGCCATGGCAATGGGTATATGGAGGCCAGTGCTTGAGGCCAAGCAGAGCCAGGTCCATACCTGGGAGAACAGATGTCGCTTTCACAGCAAGGGCACCAGGGTGGGATCACACTCAGAAGTGTTGGGGGGCCGGATCGTGAGTCAACTTCGGGGCATTTCAGGGAGCAGAAGAGACTGGGCTGGGTGGGGAGGCCAGCTGAGGAAACTCTCAGTCTCAAAGGCCCCAAGGAAGGGCTGCAGCATACTGACTTGGAACTGGGGAGCCATGGGCAGGGCAGAGCTGGGTTTGGTGACGCTCCGTCTGTGTGTACATTCAGGATGGATGAGGGAGGCGGAAAGAGTGTTAGAAGAGGCCTCAGTAGAGGCTGAACCACGCATACAGGGAGGGAGGATAGGAGTCTACCCTGAAGGACCCTCTAGTCTCATGGTCACTGCTCTCCGTATCTTATAAATGCTGTATCTCAGGGCTGGAGGGGAACTCAGATGGCTCCCAGGGACCAGATGCAGTGGGATGGGTGTGGCTGAGCTGCCGGCTCCTCCAGATGCTGAAAACTGGGGCCTCAAGGTTAAAGCCCCTTCTTGGCACAACAGCCTGACTTTAACAGACACGCTGAAGGTTCCTGGAGGCCAGAGAAGGCCTCATTAGAACATTCCCATGTTGGCCAGATGAGAGGCCCTAAGTCTAGATAGGACTGCTTTCTTGGACTGAATGTTGGAATCAGTGGTCTGAGAAGCTGGAATTGTTGGGGAGTCCAGACCCCCAAAATTTAAAAATCTCTTTGGGGTAAGGATTTTTTTAGTCCCCCAGACAAGCAATCTCTCCACATTTGCTTGAATGTCTCCAGGGGCCATGAGTTTACTAACCCAAGTCAGGCAATCTGTGGAGGCTAGAAAGTTTAACTTAAGGACACATATGTCCTTATCCCTGACCCAGCCCTGCAGGATCTTAGAGACAGTCAGTTTGTGCCACATGTCTTTGTGTTTCCCTGACTGGCCTAGCTCACGAGGGATGGCGTAGGTGTCTGTTCTAGCTAGGCCACTCAGCCTGGCACCTTCAGGTGTACCAGGACCCACAGCTCTGCAGCGGTCATGCTGGGTTGGTTCAGTCTCCAGGGGATGCCTGCAGTGGACCTTGCCCTTCTGCCTGGAGCTCGTGGAAGGCACTTCCAATATCCCTGGTCCTCTGCGGAGCCTTCTCCGGAGCCTACGCACCTTCTCCAGGCCATCTTCCTTCAGGCTGATGATGTCCAGATCAAAATCAGTCCGCAAACCACTGGTTTTGTTGAAAACAATCCGTCCAGTTAATCCTTCCCATTGAGCCTGCGGAGTGGAGAGGGCAGAGCGGCAATTCCTCGGGCTCATAAATCATCATTCGGTACAACTGTACAATGCTTCATTTTAATTACTCCTTGCACTGATACTGTTCCCCCAAGACCATGATTAATTAATAATCACCTCCATCATTGCTCGGGCTGTGGTGCGAGCCAGCGATTTCCATAAATTCTATTACGCTCTTTAGCCAGCTCTACATCTGCACCTTCTCGTGTACAACATCGATCTCGGATGCGCTCAAATGAGCCCCCGCCTCGAAGCCCTGGGAAGGGGGAGCCCGTGTCAGATCCCTGGGGAGGGCCAGGGAGGCAGGTGAGCAGAGCGGGAGCACATGAGACCCACCAAGAGATAGAAATGCCTACAGGCCCAGTAGGCTGTTTGCAGAGCCATATCCTTGGAGCATTACCCCCAGAGAGGGAGGGAGCTGGGCAAAGCCCCTCAACCTGCTGCTGCAGCCCCAAGCCACGGCTGAGAACTCTGGGGTCCAAACTCTGGGTTCAACTCCACTGGCTCTGTGACCTACAGTACTCTCTGCCTCAGTTTCCTCGGCTATAAAATGGAACTAGTCAGGGTATCCATATTTCCAAAATGTGAGAGTGAAATAAGCCAGGGAAAACAGAGAGAAGAGCCTGGGCTAATGCAGGCCCTGGATAAATGGCAAGTTCTGCCATTCTGTTGTCATTAACACAGACAGAGGTAGATATGACTTAATGCAGACTATTTTTTTTTTCAAGACAGGGTTTCTTTGTAGTTTTGGTGCCTGTCCTGGATCTCACTCTGTAGACTAGGCTGGCCTTGAACTCACAGAAATCAGCCTGGCTCTGCCTCCCGAGTGCTGGATGGTGCACCACCACCACCCAGGTACAGACTATTTTCTAGGCCAGGGTGGGCCAGTCTGGCCATGGCCTGTGCTTGGATGAGTCCACAACCATTCCTACCCATCTGTTGTGGAGTCCTGCTACCTTCAGATTTGCCAGTATTAGATATTATAGACTGTCTCTCTTCTGGGGGTCCAGAGTAGTCATTCTTTGTGCACACGAGGGTGTGTGCTGTACCTTTCCTGTGGGTTTGTATATGTGTGCCTGTAGAAATGTGTGCATGTGTATGCTGATGTGTGAGGTCAATGTTGGATGTTCCCCTCAGTCACTCTCCATCTTATTTAAAATAAAAGTAGCAAAAATAATATAAACATGTGTGTTGCATACACATGTGTGGGTGCCCATGGCCATGCAGAGACGAGAGTTGTCTTCCTGTATTGCTCTCCACCATATTCTCTTCAGACAGGGTTTCTCACTGAACCTGAAGCTTGCCCTCTTGTCTAGGGTAGCTGATGAACAAGCTCCTGGGATCTACCTGTCTGCTCCTCAACGCCTGAGCTACAGACAGGTGCAGCCACACCTAGCTTTTATGTGAGTGCTGGGTTTGAACTCAGGTCCTTAGCATTGCACAGAAAGAGCTCTTATCTGCCACCTCTCCAGCCCTTCCATCTTATATTTTTAAGAGAGTATCTCGCACTGAATCTGGAGCTCACTGATTCAGCTAGGATGGCAGGCCGGGGAGTTCTAAAGACCCATCTGCCTGCCTTCCCAGCACTGGCGTTAGAGCTACACCGCTCCCAGCTTTATATGTGGGTGCTGGGGACTCGAACTTCGATTCGCATGCTTGAGTAGCGGGCCCATCACTAGTGGAGTCCCGGCGCTAGCCAGAGAGGTGATTCCATAAGTCACGACCCCACAGGTGATGTCACCCAACTTTCCCAGCAGCCTTGAGGGCTGGCCCGGTGAGGATCATGATTCCATGTTACAGATGGGGAAACAGGCCCGGAGGGAGAGGGTCCTGGGAGCCCCAAAGCTTCCTCTACACAACAGGCAGAGCCAAGCTAGACCCCTGGTCCCAGGGCCTCACTACTTGGTCTGGGCCCTTTCCCTCTTTCTCCTTGGGTGGGGCTGATGCTGGTGGGTATTTTGCAGTTAGATTTCTGCATCTGGGAGAAGATGACCCACCATCCATCCTGGGGTCTTGGGAAATAGGAGGGAAACAGCCATTGGGGGTTAGTGAGTGGAGGGGGATGAATGAGGTATCCAGAGGAGAGGTAGGGACTGCAGGAGGGCTAATTCTGGTTTGGGCACAACAAGTTCCTGCTCACCCTATATTGTGAGCAAGGCTCCTGGCCTCTCCCTGGAATGAGCATCAGCACCCACCACATGGTCACTACTTCTCAAATTCCTGGTCCCCAGAAGCTTGTCTTTGGATCCCATCTAAAGACCTAGAGCGTCTCCCTGCTCCTGGGCAGCTCGGAGTCCCTGTAGACTTTCACAGATAATGGAAGATGATAACTGGGTGAGAGGCAGGAGGATTGGAGTTCTAGGCCGTCTGGGCTGCTTACTGAGGTTCTGTCTTAAGCCATCCTTTGCTCCCCCCCAAAAGTAGATAGACAAAAGGTGTCCTAACTCAGAGGCAACATCCTGGAGCCCCAGAAGGCTAGAGAACAAAAGAGGCTCAATCTATCTAACACTCCACTGGTGTGCAGGCCCTTAATGAGGTGGGTAAAGTGCCCAGGACCATGCCTGTGAGTATGATCATGACGAGTGTTATGGGTTATCATGTTTCCTTTGTAGGTTCTGGAGCCCCGGGGCTCCTGGAAATGGAGGTGGTCCTCAATGGAGGAAGAGACAAGGCCAGGCCCAGGGAGGAAACTTACAGCAGAGAGTGACAATCCCACCCTTCAGAAGCCCACTGAACTTCCATTGTGACCCTGCGAAGTGGGACTCATCACTCTCTCCATTTCCCAGATGTGAATACTGAGGTTCAAAGATGGACTGAGGTACTGAGGAGATAGTTCAGTTAGTTAAAATGCCTGTCACGGAAGCATGAGGTCCTGAGTTGGATCCCTGGTGCTCACATAAAAATGTCAGGTGTGGCTGCAGGCATCAGGGTGTGGTGGGGTGGGGGTGAGTGAATCCTCTCACTCTAGCACACCTAATCGGTGAATGCCAGGTTCAGTGAGAGAGCCAGGCTCCCAAAAACCAAGGCAGAGAGATATAATGGAAGATATCTCTGGTCTCCACTTGAATGTACACCTGCAGACACACACACACACACACACACACACACACACACACACACACACACACACACGGAGCCAAGGGGACAGAGATTAAAAGCCACATCAGAGAAGGTGAAGGGCTCTGTTTATGACTTCACAGGGAGGCCGGCCTTCCCTCAGGCTGGCTCCCCCACCCCTCGGGCTTCCATCTCTCTGCTGCAGCCCACACCCTCTGGCTATCTGCGGGCCCCCAGGGAAATCTCAGCAGGTGTCTTCCGCTGCCTTGCTCCTACAGAGGAGGCTTTCCTCCCTGTCAGTGCCAGAGGAATTAAATGCCAGCAGGTGCGGCCTGTCTGTGGGCGGGTGGGCCGGGGCAGGGCAGGGAGCCACGGGCAGCTCCTCCCCGTGACATTTCCCAGCCCACCCGCCCCCTCTAGCCGCAGCTCAGGACTCGCTAAATGAAAGATGCTTCACACGCTCTGAACTCCGGCCTGGTATTTTCCAGCTCCTCTCGGAAATGCCAAGTCTTTAAAATGATTTACTGCCACGCAGTCAGACGGAGATGGGCAACTTGGAGACGGACAAAGGGAAGCCTGGACTCTGCAGGGTACCTGGGTTCTGCAAGTGGCCAGTTATGGACCACGAGCATTTTGTAGCGACTCCTGCCTGGCCTCCATGGCCCTAAGAACAGAAGGAGTTCTGCAAGGGATGGGGAGTGTCCGCCCCAGTGTGGGTAGGAGAGTTCCAGGAGCGGGAATGGGACCTCTCTTTCTAGGCTGGGCAGTGGGGAGTCCGCTCCCCTCGGGCATTCATGGCTGGGCCTCAAGCTTTCCAAGGGGCAAGGGGTGAAGATGTAGGGTCCTTGAAGCAGGGTGGGCTGCAGGCCCTATGGCTGGAACCCACTACCCAAAAGGAAGTTAGAGTAACTCCAGATGATGGTGACTAAAAAATCAGGGTTGTCATACCTGCTGTGCCCAGCTCTGAGACCAACCCTCAGCCAATGGCTGTCATAGATGAAAGAACTCCAAGACTGCTTGCTTCTATTCTATTCTCTGAAAACACACACACACACACACACACACACACACACACACACACGCACGCACGCACGCACGCACGCACGCACGCACGCACGCGCGCGCGCGCGTGCACACACACACACACACACACACAGAACAGAGAGAGAGTCTGGACCTTCCTAGAGGGCTTCACCTGAGCCCCTTGGTCTTGGTCTTGGTCTACTTACCACTCACTTTAGCCCAGGATAGCCCTGCTTAGACCTCGTCCTTTATAGCCTTTTCTTCTTGCTAGTAACTGAGAGCAGATCCTGGTCTGACCCCGGGTTTCACTCTGTCTTCCACAATTCTGAACTGAGGATCAGAGAGGCGGTCATCTCACCAAGCCACTTAGCCAGGGGCAACACATTGGCAAGTGAGGCCCGGACTGAGTGAGTTTGTCTGTAGAGGGGAGCCATAAACCCTGCTGCATCCAGTGTGACAGCAGCGAGGACAGTGACAGAGAGAGAATCCTTTGACCACCCGGGCTTCTCAATCGCCTTTGAGACAGGGGAAACTGAGGCTCAGAGAGGTGACCTGCCCAAGTGTGTAGTACGTAAGAGAAACCACTTCTCTGGCTCCCGCACCTGAGCCCTCCAGCTCTCTGCTGCAGGGGGCATCCCCGGAGGGGCCTGGACTCACCTCCTTGATGAAGTTCATGAAGCGGCCACCAAAGCGCCAGGCCTTGTGCCGATGGCACTGCAGGGAGTTCACGGTCATCTGCGGCGCTCGCTGGTAGCACACAGACACGATGTGGACGGCATCGTAGAGCAGGGCTGCGTCCGTCTGCGGAGGGCACAGGCCTGCCTGAGGGCTGCGCCTGTGGCGTCCCCAGCTCCTGCCCCACCTGCCCTACCGCCACTTACAAGCTCATGGTGTCCTGAGGGGGGAACAGGCCCTTAGGCCCAGAGGGAGCCCTGTCCTTTTATGTGAAGAGAGGCCAGCCTCGGTGTGGCCCTATGAGTCTGTGGACACCCCAGTGCCCCCCTCTTTCCTGCTGCTCAGGCTCTCTCTCTCTCCAGACCTCCCACCCAACCCATTACCTAATCTCACCCACTCTTTACTCCTTTCTTGCCTCCTCAGCCTCATACCTGCCAGTTACAGCTTAAGTCCCCATGGTCTTTAGTTTGTTTGTTTGTTTGTTTGTTTTTAATGTGATCCATTTTTAACCATCCTATGGCTCCATTAGAGGCGGCCCTTAGGGTGGGACTGTTGTCCCCAGGGCTCTGGCTGATACATGGCAGATCTTACAAAATGAAGTGTCGTATGAGGAGATGGAGGGAAGGAAGGAGAAAAGGAAGAAAGGAAGAGGGACAAGAAAGAAGGAAGGAAGGAGGGAGGGAGGGGAGCCCTGGGGGCCTATCTATCCATCGGCCCACTGTACCATCATCACTCCATCCAATAGGCCAGACTCCGCCCGGGGAGCTGCCTGGAGTCGCTCCATGGACCACTTCTCCACAATGGCTGAGACATGGGGGTTGTCCACGTTGAGTATGCGGAACCCAGTCAGGTTCACCCCCGAGTAGCGGTAGGGTTCCAGGTCTAGTGCGTAGAGATCCTGAAGAAAGAGAGCTTGATGTGGTTAAGGGCTAGCCCAGTTTGCCTCCCTCACCCTCTAGACCTGGGCACCCCTGGGCCTGAGCTGTGGCTCCCTGCAGAGCCCTGTGTGTGAAAGATGCCCGGAGTGTCCACAGGAGGACTGAACGCAGAGTCCACCACTTGAATCTCCTGATACTGACCTCACATGCTGACTATGGGGGCCATCATCCTGTTTCTTCATCTGTAAAATGGGGGATTTCTCCCCTTTACAGAACCCAGAAGACCCCCTCTCACTTTGGGAGGACAAAGGGTGCTGGGCCTGGGCATCTCCAAGTGACATTGAAGGAGGCAAAAAAGCCAGAGTACCTTTTCCCCCCTTCACAGAGGGGTCCAAATGAGGACCAAAGAAATCCACTACCCGCCCCTCCCCCCCCCTTACTCTTCTGGAAGTCACAGGCAGGGCCTTTTTACCCTGTCTCCTAGGAACATCTGTCTAGAGGACTCTCCATGGTCAGGTCCCACGCAGCCTGGTAGATGGGCAAGCCTTGGCTGACAGCCCAGGAGAAAGGGTCTTAAAGCCCCAACCAGCCCTGGCCTCTCTTGCAGCCCCAGATCAGGGCTGGTGAGGTGAGGAGTCAAGAGGAGAAGCAGTGGGAATGGGCAGCTGTCCCTCAGCAGAGAAGACAGCGTGTGGAGGGGCAGTTAGCCTTCACAGGAGCCAAGCAGAGCACTCACCACAGGCTCAAGATGCCTCCAAACTCAAGGAGCCACAAGAGAAGCGTCATGTGCTTTCAATACGCAGGATGGCTGCTTTCAGATCTCCGGGGGCTTCCTAACTCCGCTGGGTTAGGAACTGCTGTTAACGCTGGGTAAAGCCCAAGCTTCTGCTTAACATGAGATTTGTGTCTGGCACAAAAGGTCATCCCTAAGGCGGCGGTTTTATTGCTTTGCAGGAGATTAATCTATTTTGTGTGTAACTGTTCTACTCTACGTCCCTTCCCCCCCTAAAACCCTGCTCCTCAAATGCTCTGCTTCACCAACGGACTGTTCCCTCCAGACTTAGAAACACGTCCAACTCTACACTTGCTTCAGACTAATGTTTTGATTTTCAAAAATAAATAACTTGGACAATGTAGACTGGTTGCCAGCTGGGACTGGGGAAATCAGGTCTCTTGTCCATACTTTCCCCGCTTCCCTTCACTGAGCTGCCTTCCATCTTGAACCTGAAGGCCACACCCCCACCTCTACCCTTAGCCTAGTGCCAACCTCAGATAATCAAAAGGGACACAGGCTGGAGCCCATAGAGCAGATCTCGCACAACACTTGGGTGTCCTGTGGTCTCTGAGACGTTCCTTCTTGGTAAAAAACTCCTGCTCCTCTGCATTCCCACACGGACCCTTTCTCGAAGGCACTGTGTGCATTCATGTCCCCTTCGCAGAGAAGAGGAGGGCTTGGAGCCCAGGCAAGAAAGTCTCATCTTAAACCACTCAAACAAATACAACCAGCCTCCCAAGTCTGTGCATGTACGAATTCAACCAACCGTGTATGTATGTATGTATGTGTGTGTATATATAATTTAATTGCCTATCTATATTGAACATGCAGACTTTCTTTCTCTCCCCAATTCCCTAACAATGTCATGAATTACCCAGCATTTTCATTGTATTGAGCATTGTAAGTTATCTAGAGTTGACTTAAGGGAGATAAGAGCATGTATTAATAATATGTAAATACGATGCAATTGTATACAAGAGATTTGAGCATTGTGCTGGCTAGTTTTATGTCAACTTGACACAAGCTAGAATCATCTGAGAAGAAAGAACAATAATTGAGAAAATGCTCCCACAAGATTGGCCTGTAAGCAACTCCATGGGGTATTGTCGGATTAATGATTGATGTGGGAGGGCCCAGCCCCCAGTGGGTGGGGTCACCCTTTGGCAGGTGTTCCTGGGTTCTCTAAGAAAGCAGGCGGAGCAAGTCACAAGAGAACTAGCCAGTAAGCAGCACTCCTCTATGCCCTCTGTATCAGCTCCTGCCTCCAGGGGGTTCCTGCCCTGCTTGAGTTCTTGCCCTGACTTCTTTCCACGATGGACTGGATGTGGACGTGTAAGTGAAAACAAAGCCTTTCCCCCCAAAGCTGCTTTGGGTCAGGGTATTTCATCACAGTAGCAGATCCATAGTCAGGGGAACGGATGGAAAAGCAGTTGACACCACAAAGATGAGAGAGTGTTTTTCAACAACTGTTCACACCACGCTAGACCTGGAAGCAGAAAGGATGGCAGGAACCAAGGGCTGGGTATGACCTTGTAGTACCTATGTCTAGCAGCTGGCCCTACCTCCTAAAAAGGGTCCTACAGCCTCCAAAAAATACTGTCCCCAGGTATGGAACAAGTATCCGAAGCCCACGCTGAGCTAGTCAGGGGACATTCTAGATTGAATTCATAACAGGTTCTAAGTGGTGAGGCTGCAGTCACTTCCCTTCATATTCTCTGGTCTGGGCTTTACTACAGAGTTTCCTAGGGGCTAGTGACGCTGAGTACCCCCACCCCTGTGACACGAGAGCAGTGACAGTGAGGAACTGGTGAAGAGGCCTCTTTGTCCAGCTCCTGCTACTGTTTTTTTGTTCAAACTGCCCTGGGCCAAGACCCTAAGTGCTCAACACGGTGAACTGTGGGCAACTTTGCAGCTTGGCAAAAAGTTGCATTTCCGATGCCAAATGTTGACACACTGAATTCAGTGTCGACTGGGGACCTTTTAGAAACATTCAGCATAACATAATAGACTAATTCATTAGCACCCCATGGGTCTGAATGGGAAGAAGCCGATGCTCGGGAAACATGGCCTCAAGGAACGACAGATGAAAATATCTTTCCCATGATGTAACTGTTATTGCCGGGAAGTGGCATTAATTGTGATTGCTTATCTATTAATTTATTATAATTCTTTTTTTTTCACCTCCAGGCTCTTACCTACACATGACATGCACCAGGGGCTCAGCTGGGGCTGATTAGCACGGGGTTATCTGGGAATGGCTCAAAGCTGGCTGATACCGATAATGGCAGCTGGGGTAATTAAAACGTCTTCTGCATGGGAGAAGCGACTTTGGAGACATTTTTTGAGGGGAAGGGTTGATGATGTGCATTTCCTAAGATAAATGCCAAATGCCATTCCCCTTCCCAATATAGCCACCACTGACCAATGGGCATGAAAAGGGAGAGTCACGAGGTAGAGCCCCGAGCCAACGGGGCTGGAAGGAAGATCCTGAAGCTGGCAACAGGCTGTGACCAGCGAAGAGGACTGAGGGGGACACAGAGGATGCCGTGACGCGCGCGGGGGCTACTGGGATTGCCGATATACACTCCACCATAAAGCTGTCTGCATTATGGAGGCCACATCTTCCTGGAAGAGCCTGGTCTCCTATGCCTCGGAAATGGGAGAGAGGGAGAACAGTGCCCTGAAGCAGCCATGGGCAAGAGCCCGAGTGAGAGCCTAAGCCGGGATCACTGATCTGCCGTGAGACTCTGGGAGAGTCATGCGATCTCTCTTGGGGTGGAGTAGAAAGCACACTCTGCCGTTGTGGCCTCGAAGGGAAAATTAGAGGATGCAGGCAAAGGACATAAGTGTGGGCGCCGCTGGGAATTCACGAAGGCTCTGTTTACCCCATTAGTGTCAATCACCACGCTGGACCATTACGGCCAGGCATCATGAAGAGTCTACCTGCTGGAGGAGGCTGGGGACCCTGGAGTGGCAGTTGGCGGCAGAGGGTTTGGGCAGCTGGAAAGCTTGTGTGGAAAACCCCTGTTGTCTGTTGCTGAATCGCCTCTCTGAGCCTCAGTTTCCATTTCTGGGGGGAAACGGGAGAGTCACAGCTCCCATGGATGTTCATTTTGAGGGATGAGGACACACAGGAAGCAAAAGCAGGAGGTGCTTAGTGAGTTTATTTGACACGTACATGGTAGTAAGTTCCGATGT